CGTCCTTCCTCTTTTTTAACAGTACTACATGTTATCAACTTTGATGCGGAGGGGTAGAGCCAATCCTCACCTCATCGTCTCTTGGTTCCTTCGGAATGCAGCTTCCAGGGTGGTTCCGCCATGGTGGAATGTTGACCCCCATGGCATGTGATTGTGATGCACGTTAGCGCTCACGTGATGCATTCGTGATGCTGCTTGAGGTTTCTACCTAGGATGTGGAGAGGTGAATGGAGGTGAGCGTTTGACATCTCAAAGCTTGTAAGCTGATCTTAGTCCATTAGATCATGTATCAATATGAATTCTGTTAATGCATTTCATTTCATAGATTTCTTCCTCTCTTCCCCAAGCATGTTATTGTATTCATCCTTTTGAACATGCCCTCTCGGTGTGTCTGAAAGTGGGGAGCGGGATACTCATGACATTGACATGATTTTCACAAACAGATTTGACCATGTTTCCAAATTGTTGGGGGAACATGCCCAGTTTAAACTCCTTTTTCCTGGGTTTCAAGGAGACGTACCCGACTTCGTGTGCTCTATGAGAATGAGGCTGGCATGGGACTTCCAGGATCTTCCAGGTCCCTTGCACTTGGCTGAAATTAGCCTCAACTGCACCCCCAAGGAGTACACCAAGAAGCTCTAAGTAGTTGCAAGTATGTTGATCTTTACGTATCTTTACGTATATGTAGTATACAACCATAAATAGATGCACTGTATATGCTAGACATTGCCAGATCACATACGCTATCCAATTCACTACAACGTGCTAGACCCAATAAATGGAAAAAAAACAAAGCACCTCCAAATTCACCAGAAATGGGTTGTGAACAACCAACCCATTTGAACAAAAACACAGGTTTTGGCGTGTCATTGTAGTTTCCATCATTTCTTGATTACATATGTTCCTATATTCTCACATTCAAAACCATCATTCAAAGATGATTTCCTACTAAAACCTCCATTATCTCGTGGACTTCCCCATACGTTCCCAGGAATTTCCCATGACCTATATTCAATGGATTGGTTTAGTCGGGAAAATCGTAACCGGAAACCCTCGATTTCCCAGTAAATATATGGGCTTTTCCTGTAAATGTTCCCTGAAAACCAATCTATTGATATATTTTTCAGTCCCGTAGCAACAAACTTGCCCTGGCCACGTGGCCAGGCCAGAGCGTATGAAGCCGAATTGGCTGCCCTGGGATTGGCCGTGCAACGTCAGGTGAACTGAGGCGTGGCGGCGAAAGATGATATGATGGGGGATATGATGGTTTCCATAAATGGGGGTACCCCAATAGCTGGATGGTTTATAATGTTTATAGATGTTTATAGTGGAAAATCCCAATCTAAAGTGGATGATTTCGGGGTAGCCCTATGTTAGGAAACCAGCATATGTTAGGTGGAATAATGGTACATATGCCCAATTCCAACAACATTATATAAGGGGATGGGTCAGAGTTAAGTCTTATGCCCTAACTATGGTACCATTTAGTAGTAACCATCCAACTATTGGGGTGGCCAATTTGATTCATACCTACCCATATGATGAAGGAAGCTCAAATAGAAATGATCCGAGGGATGAATGGATCTTAGGGAACCTAAATAGATCTCAATAAAAACTAGAAACTAGAAAGCAACTAAATAGAAACTAAGTAGAAACTATATATACAATGACATACAATGAATCAATCTTAGGGAAAATAGGAATGACAGGAAACTAAAGATGATGTATCTTATACTTTTTAAATGAACTAAAACTGAACTCAAGACTATATACTAAAGATTTAAATCCAAGGTATACTGGAGCCCCCAAGTCATAGCTATAAGTTGGTTTATAATCCCTTCTACTGGAAGTATTGATATATCCCCATTCATCCCTAGATTGCCTAGTTGGAAAGCAACTTAGTACCTCATAGGAATGACCACGGGATGGCAACAAAAGTTGCAGCTATCTTTCGAACACGTAATGAAGTTCTGATGAAGTGCCAGCCAAAGATCCTAAGAGGGCTTGATTTACTGCATCACCACCATTGGAAACCGAGCAGACGGGTTAGTTACATGCAAATTGTTGATCAAAAGATACTGCAATCATCTGAAATTGGCAATCAATGTATCCGTATCTGAGATATTGAGGAGTTTGGCCACTGCCATCTGTGGCATTATTTGTTTGAGCATGCTTTCTTCTCAGCCACCAGCTCGACTGCACAGGCAGAAAAAGCTAAGTAGGAGTGGTGAGCGCCAGCCAGAACCGGGATTTTATGACGTGCAAAGCAGCACCCGCAGAAGAAAAAGCACACTGGAACCTGAACAGAATCAATCGCTAATATGGGATTGTTTGAAAATCTTGGTGGAAACAACATTCACTACTTACTCATTGAGTCATCGTGTTCCAGATTAAGTCGTTGTTTTGGGGTTGTAGCCAATTTATTAGCAAACCCATGTGCGACACAATATTGATATGGCCAGTCAAAACAGTTGCATTTGGCTTTGTCACAACTTGCACACCTCGAATCTTGACCGGTTGGTGGTTTGGAAAATTTTCCATTTTTCCCATCATATTGGGAATGTCATCATCCCAACTGACTCATATTTTTCAGGGGTAGGTCAACCACCAAGCAGTTGAGAAAACATCAATGCCGGCGGTGTCTCGTTCTACCAAAGTTTCACCCCAAAGCTGCCAGACACAGCCAGTGTCGACTGCAACCTCAGAAGAGGTGGTGCACGAAAGGGGTCCCACACTGATCCAGGGAATCCAGGGTCGAAGGTTTGGACGAAAGATGGTTACTGTTGGTTGGTGATTTGTAGATGGTTTTGCGATATTTATTTTGATTTATTTTGCATAATTCTATCATTTCATGGGAGTGGAACATGTTGGAATCCCACTTGACTCATGGTGGAATATGTTTGCAGGTCTTGAAGTCACCAATGCCACCATTGCAAAACTGATATGTCTGAAAGTGGTTCTCTCCCTTTTTTTTTGTGGTGTCCATAGTAGATCCAACCATCAAGGGGGCTGTCTTTTGATGGATTTGGGGTAATGTGGTAAACCCTTGGTAAACCCATAAGCCCTAATTCTGTTGTACGCATGGCTTATAAACCATGTAATTTAATACAACCATTTTGCAAAATGTGGTGAAGATGAAGATGAAGTTCACTTACTGTACGTTTAGGTTTACCACATGATGCCACATGTTTTCAGCCTGGAGTTTGAGACTATGATCTGCCGCCTGGCTCAAGCTGTTTTGTGGATGCACAATGGCAAGTGGCATCCACTATGCTACTGGGAGCTTCATTTATGGCATCAGTTATGGCTTTGCTTCATCCCCCAAAGAACCATACTTATGGAAGGAAGAGATGGAAAGAGGCAGGTCGTCAGTTTGAGACATGGTCCATGTTGCCACCGGCCCGAGACATGAGAAACATTTGATGGATCGAAGCTATAAATACATAAATCATATCCAAAAAGGTCCAAACCATATACATCTATATTATCCTCAATTCATACATATGATTACATATACGTGTATATATATAATATACATAAATCCAAAGATAAAATAATTCAGTAGAAAAAACAAATCATGTCCATATATGTCCATATCATATTAATTCATATTAATTCAGTATATCAGTATATCATCCAGATACGATGTCGCCGAGGTCATGGAGCCGCTGGTGCCGCGGCTTGCGCAGGCTGGGGAAGCCCATTTTTTTTACAGAGGATGGGACAAATTACCACGGAAACCCCTATATTTCATGGTAAAAACCTGTAAAAAAACATGGTTTCGGGTTTCCGGTGAAGATTTTCGCGAAAACCAATGAATGTTGAATGTTTCATGTGGTTGAATAGACCAAAATTGGAGGTTGAATGAAGATGAATGAAGTTGAATCGATCTTGGGAGTTTCATCGAACGTTGCATTGACCAAAATCGTTTCGCACCTACAAGCATGCGCTGTGAAGCCCAACAAAAAACACTGCGCAGCAATCTATTCACACCGACTACTCAATTGTATCAATATATTTCCCCACCTGCCAGGTGAGGGTTGTTAGATTTTATCACAGTTGTTCTCCTCTTCCTCCTCGGCTATAGCTCTCCTCCTCCTCCTCCGCCTCCTCCTCTTCCTCCTCCTCCAGTTTCTCCTCGACCATGTCTGCATCAACTTCCACCTTCACTTCCGCCTTGCCAACTCTTCGCCAAGCTCTTCGCCAACTTCCGAGCTCAGTCTGCACCGCTGGACCTCAACCTGGGACCTTCCCAGCTCAGTGTGCACCGCTGGACCTCAACCTGGGACCTTCCCAGCTCAGTGTGCACCGCTGGACCTCAACCTGTGTGCACCGCTGGACCTCAACCTGGGACCTGCCCAGCTCAGTGTGCACCGCTGGACCTCAACGGTCAGATAGAATGCCAGAAGGTATGCCAGATAGAATGCCAGATAAGACGTCAGATAGAAGGCCAGAAGATATGCCAGATAAAGTGCCAGAATGTTTGCCGGATAGAATACCAGAAGGTATGCCAGATAGAGTGCCAGATAAGATGTCAGATAGAAGGCCAGAAGATATGCCAGATAAAGTGCCAGAATGTTTGCCGGATAGAATACCAGAAGATATGCCAGATAGAGTGCCAGATAATATGCCAGAAGATATGCCAGATAGAATGCCAGATAGAATGCCAAAAGATATGCCAGAACATATGCCAGAAGATTTGCCAGATAATATGCCAGAAGATATGCCAGATAGAACGCCAGATAGAATGCCAGAAGATTTGCCAGTAACAACAGGTATAAATGTCATGGTGGGGATCACACGAAGTAAAGTATTTTTTCCAGGTGGGTGAATTCCTGTACGGGTTCTTTGTATCTTGGCACAAAAATGCCATAAAGACTTTGGGCATATGGTCCAGATTGCGAAATCATTACGAGCTCCAACTGGGGGCTCTTCCTGGAAATTGAAGTTGTTGACGAGCACATAGAGTTGGCCCAAGGACCGCCCAAAAAAGAAAAATCGTCCGGAGGGCGATGAGTCAAAAAAAATCCAGCAACACTCGCTGGTTCGGTCGAGTCAAGTCCTATGAGCCTGGCAATGGATATGGCTTCATCGAGTGCGCTGAGGCATATGAGGAGTTTGGTCGAGATGTGTATTTAAATGGGCATGAGCTCAGGAAGCTAGACATCAAGACCATCCCGGTTGGTGCAGAAATCGTGTTTCAGCTGGACGTTCGTGAAGGTCAGCCCCGCGCAACAAACCTGGTCCTGCCAAGCCCGAAGCAGTGCGAGTGTATGTTGTTCGAGTACACCGAGGTGTTGTGCAAGCTCTCTGAGCTGTTGAGGCTCCATGATTCAACCCAGGTCTCCTACAATGCTCTGAGAGAGGCTGAGGACATGCTCCAATGCAAGGAATGCCGTAGGGATGAATCTACTGAGGGTGCCAAAGTCCTCCTGTTGCTGTCCGAAGCTCGACAGAGGTGGGCAGACGAGAATCATCCCTGTCACGAAGCTCTTCGCGAAGGACTGCTGAAGAGGCTGTCCAAACCACCAGCGCAAGCTGTGGAGATGTCCATTGACCGGGTGCGATTCACACAACAAAACCACAGCAAGCGGTTTCTGCATGGACCCCATGAAGGGCAACGGATCGAGTGGCTGACAGGCCAGTTGCTTTCAGGAAAGATCCCATTCAGCGATCCATCAATGGTACTGAATGTGGTATATTATCACGGTGCCTATCGTTCATTGAACAACCGGCACTTGACTGCAATCGTGCAGTATGCCCATGCAGTGGAGACCCAAAACCGTGTGCCCAAGAAGTGCTACGTGCGAGTTTGGCCGTTGCTACGCGGCTTGGTCTTGTTTTGGCAGGGGGCCAATCATGCTGAATCAGTAGCTTTTTTGGTGATATGAGTGGGTTCTTGGCATGAAGGGGCTCTCAGCACATATCAGGCCTTGAACGTTTTAGCTCCTTGTTTTCCTTGCCCACTCCAAGTGGTTGAGTTTTCTTTGTGGTAGATAGGGATTTTCTTTAACATGATCCCACGAGCTCAAAATGATCTTAAACGTATTTGACTCATGTTGACTCATGTTGACTCATGTTGACTCATGTTGACTCATGTTGCTCAGACTCATGCACATTCGGGGCTCGTGTGTGACATTCAGGTGGCCTGCTGATGGATGATGGTTCCAACCAGGAAATCATTCGCAAGTTCTTGCGCGCCAATGACTCCGCCAGTGATGGTACCAGCATCGACTGCAAGCGTCGCATTGGACGGTCAACGCAGGTGAGCCAAGACGTGCAGATCCACGTGTCCAACTTGGATCGAACCGTCCAGGAGCCACAGCTGATGGAACATTTGCTGAAAGCAGGGGCTGAACCCTTGAGGGTGTCAATTGCCAGGCGTTCCAGTGGCCGTTCCAAGGGCGAATCCAATTGCTATGGATGGGTGACCTTCAAGGATGCTGAGTGTGCAGAGGAGTTTTTGCAAATGCCCATTCCACCTTTGGAAGGCAGAGAGCTGAAACTACGGTTGGACAATGTCTCAGCCATCAAGCAGTTGAACCCAGGCCCAGGGGTACCAGAATCAGGATGGGTACGCTGCCGGGGCTGCTACCAGGCATGTGAGCCATTGTTGGATGTGCTGCTGGTGGAAGGTGTGCGCTTGCGGCGGGACAATGTTCCACCAGAAATGTTTGATCCATTGCCAACTTTTTTCTGCGTGGGGCCAGAAAAATCACTCCGCAATGCTCGGGTCATTTCTCCACATCCTGATGCCCATGGCACATCTTTCAAACTTGCACAGGTGCTCTGCAAGACATGCGGCGCTGACCTTGGCAATGTTCAGAAAGGTTCAGAGATGCAAGGTGGTGTAGTAGACCTGCTGGGGGAACGAGTTCTACATTTGAAGTGTGCCTCTGTCCTCTTGGAGTTGTCTGATCGCCAAGACTTGCTGCTGGAAGTGCGAAAGTGGCAGTACTTGGCCCAAGTAACAGGAAGAGAGTCGATCTACAAACTCAGCCACCTGACCATGCAGGAGGCCACGGAAAAACTGGGCTTGAACCTCAACTCCAAGGTGTCTGACAGGAACACCAATCGCCATGCCCGTGTCATTCCCAACCAGCGCTTGGAGGCTGAAAGCCTGGAGGTCAAGGACACAGACGTGACCTTGGCAGGATACCCTCCAGCAAATGAGTGAAAAAGTGTCGGATGCTTCTCAGGGTGCTCCGTTTGGAAGCGTTCAGAGGGAAAGGTTCTGGTGTGCCCCGTCCACTTTTTCAGGAATTTGGCTGCCTGCATTTTCCTCCCAAAGCTAACAACATATGGTAGACATTCTTCGGAAGCAAACATATGCAAGCAAAACGTTTGATCAAAATCCTGTCCACATGTGAATGTAACCTCCGATTGTTTTTCAAAACATATATAGTAAGTGACATTGATTGAAATTGATTTTACTGTGGTAAACCCAATATGATAAACATATGATAAACTTAAACCTATATCATGTGGGGATGGTTTCTATATGTTTCTATACAAGCCATGGTGATTTTGGATGGTGCAGATGCAGATGGACTGAATCCCAGATCTTCACCAGGTCATGGAGCCTCAGCCGCGCTTCGCGCCACTTTCCTCTCAGTCCTCACAGGCGCCTGGGCGAACCACGAAAAAATGCTAAGTTAAGCCAGTTGAGTGGGTTAACCGGGGTCAATAAGAATCTGTAATATGTATATGTGATTATTTACGTATACAGTGTGGTGATGAATCTCTCTCTTTAATTCTAATATATATATATATATATTATAATCAAAGGAAGTTTAGGGGGAGAAACTTCCGTGTTACGGACTTTTAAAATGTCAGGGAAAGAGTTAGTCCAAGAAAGAGTTAGTCAAAGAAAGAGTTAGCAAAGAAACAGTTTGTCAGGGAAAGAGTTAGTCAAAGAAAGAGTTAGTCAGGGAAAGAGTTAGTCAAAGAAAGAGTTAGTCAGGGAAAGAGTTAGTCAAAGAAACAGTTAGTCAAAGAAAGAGTTAGTGAGGGAAAGAGTTAGTCAAAGAAAGAGTTAGTCAAAGAAAGAGTTAGCAAAGAAACAGTTAGTCAGGGAAAGAGTTAGTCAAAGAAAGAGTTAGTCAGGGAAAGAGTTAGTCAAAGAAAGAGTTAGTCAGGGAAAGAGTTAGTCAAAGAAAGAGTAGTGAGGGAAAAGTTAGTCAAAGAAAGAGTTAGCAAAGAAACAGTTAGTCAGGGAAAGAGTTAGTCAAAGAAAGAGTTAGTGAGGGAAAGAGTTAGTCAAAGAAAGAGTTAGCAAAGAAACAGTTAGTCAGGGAAAGAGTTAGTCAAAGAAAGAGTTAGTGAGGGAAAGAGTTAGTCACAGAAAGAGTTAGTCAAAGAAAGAGTTAGTGAGGGAAAGAGTTAGTCAAAGAAAGAGTTAGTGAGGGAAAGAGTTAGTCAAAGAAAGAGTTAGTCAAAGAAAGAGTTAGTCAAAGAAAGAGTTAGTCAAAGAAAGAGTTAGTCAAAGAAAGAGTTAGTGAGGGAAAGAGTTGCCGATGGAGTTTCGAAGGAGTTGCCGATGGAGTTTTGGAGGAAGTCTCGCACGAAATGCGTTTTTGAGAGATAGCAGATGCACGAAACCCTATGTTTTTCCATACAAAGTCCGTCCCCGAACCTCGATGATCTACCTCTGCGGTGCGACGGTTGCGAGACGGTCTCGTGTGTGGTCGGATCATCCTCGGATTGGTCTCGGATCGGTTCCGCATTGTAAATGGGGTTGCAAGTGGTGCTGGTGGATGAGTTGCCGATGGAATTCCATTGTGATTTGCAACTCAAGGATCGTTCCCTCACTGTAAATGGGATTGCAAGTGCTGCTGGTGGAGGAGTTGCCGATGGAGTTTTGCAGAAAGTCTCGCACGAAATGCGTTTTTGAGAGATAGCAGATGCACGAAACCCTATGTTTTTCCATACAAAGTCCGTCCCCGAACCTCGATGATCTACCTCTGCGGTGCGACGGTTGCGAGACGGTCTCGTGTGTGGTCGGATCATCCTCGGATTGGTCTCGGATCGGTTCCGCATTGTAAATGAGGTTTCAACTGTTTTTCGTGCATGTGTGGTTGACAGAATTCCATTGTGATTTGCAACTGTAGGATCGTTCCCGCAATGTAAATGGGATTGCAAGTGGTGCTGGTGGATGAGTTGCCGATGGAATTCCATTGTGATTTGCAACTCTAGGATCGTTCCCTCACTGTACATGGGATTGCAAGTGGTGCTGGTGGAGGAGTTGCCGATGGAGTTTTGGAGGAAGTCTCGCACGAAATGCGTTTTTGAGAGATAGCAGATGCACGAAAGCGTATGTTTTTCCATACAAAGTCCGTCCCCGAACCTCGATGATCTACCTTTGCGGTGCGACGGTTGCGAGACGGTCTCGTGTGTGGTCGGATCATCCTCGGATTGGTCTCGGATCGGTTCCGCATTGTAAATGGGGTTTCAACTGTTTTTCGTGCATGTGTGGTCGACAGAATTCCATTGTGATTTGCAACTGTAGGATCGTTCCCGCATTGTAAATGGGGTTGCAAGTGGTGCTGGTGGATGAGTTGCCGATGGAATTCCATTGTGATTTGCAACTCAAGGATCGTTCCCTCACTGTAAATGGGATTGCAAGTGGTGCTGGTGGAGGAGTTGCCGATGGAGTTCCATTGTGCTTTGCAACTGTAGGATCGTTCCCGCAATGTCTAGAAGGTTTCAAATGCTTCGGAGGACGAGCTGAGGACGTAATACCATTGTGTTTTGCTAGGGATTGTTGCTAATCGCATTGTAATGGCTGCGTGAACTTGCTGCAGCTGGATTCTTTCAGATTTTGCCTGCTTTCATTTTCTATTTAAATTCTTTATAAAAAACGCTTCAAAAATCAACTTTTTCTGCTCTGGCGTCGAGATCCGGTTTTGGAGCTACAATTTCCGACGCCGTTGCGCGTAGTTCTATTGTGTTTTGCAAATCAGTCTCTGCAGATCGCATTGTAATGGCTGCGTCAAGGTTGCTTCGTGCTGTGGCTGCATGCGTAATACTATTGTCTTTTGCAGCAGGACTTCGTAAATCGTATTGGAGTGGCTGCATGAAGGCTCCGACAGTGATTTGTCAGCAGATTTTCTCCATTTTGGCGCTAGTGATTTTCCTTCTAAAAATCATTTTAAAAAGTGCTTCAAAATCTTTGTTTTTCGCTCTGGCGTCGAGAGCCAGCCGGTTTTGGAGCTACAATTTCCGACGCCGTTGCGCGTAGTTCTATTGTGTTTTGCAACTCAGTCTCTGCAGATCGCATTGTAATGGCTGCGTCAAGGTTGCTTCGTGCTGTGGCTGCATTCGTAATACTATTGTCTTTTGCAGCAGGACTTCGTAAATCGTATTGGAGTGGCTGCATGAAGGCTGCCATTGATTTGTCAGCAGATTTTCTCCATTTTGGCGCTAGTGATTTTCCTTCTAAAAATCCTTTGAAAAAGTGCTTCAAAATCGTCTTTTTTTCGCTCTGGCGTCGAAATCCGGTTTTGGAGCTACAATTTCCGACGCCGTTGCGCGTAGTTCTATTGTGTTTTGCAAATCAGTCTCTGCAGATCGCATTGTAATGGCTGCGTCAAGGTTGCTTCCTGCTTTGGCTGCATGCGTAATACTACCTGAACCTCCCATTGGTACACAAAAATGTGTACCATTTTGTTTCTGCCCGATTTCAAAAAATGTGCCCGTTTAAGGGTCTGAAAAAAAAAGGTGTCCGAAGTTCCGTGGCTCTCCATAGTAATCAACCTGATTCCTTCCCCAAAGGCTCGATAGGACACTTTTGTCACGCGCTAATGCATGTGCAGCATGCCAAATACGACCTCGAACAGCCACACCTGACAACATGGGTTGCATCGCAGCACATGTAAACAACCGAGCTTTGGACAGGGTAAATCTAAAGTATCCACTTCAACATCACGTATGTTTTTCATAGGCCAAGATACCTCCAGCAAACAACCTTCAGCTATAGCGCAATTTTCACAACACCACATCAACAGTCGGGTATTATTTTTTCACACGAAGAATCCTCATGCAGGGCGTTCAACATTCAACACTCAACACAAAAACACCACAGTCACAACAAACAAAAGCATAACATATATAAGATGAACACTACACGCGGCAAAATCCAGAAACATGCGCACCGGGAGTCCAAGAAAAACGGAAATGAAACCATTCCATGAACTAAACGGTGCGATGGAAGAACTGGCTAGGCTCAGACTGAAACAACATGCCCCCCACAAGCTCAAGACCACATGGCGGCGCCTTCTCTTCGGACCATGCCTGCTGTTCGGACCATGCGTAAAAAGGGTTTTCAAAAACACGCGACACGTCATGACGGTCAAAACAAGAGGGTCAAGTGGTACACTTTTTTTTTTTGCGCCCGTTTCGCGCCTTTTTGCGCCCGTTTCGCGCGTTTTCGCGCCCGTTTCGCGCAAGACCCTTGGATAATATCAGGCGCAAAATGTCAACATCATGCATGTCAAAGCCGACCTAATGCAAGGCGCCATTTTTCATCAAGCAAACGTCAACCTGACCGTGTTTCCCAGAGTTCACGGTCAAACTTTGTCATGCACAGCCATGCCACAGGCCGGCTACTTTTGCCATGAGGTGTTTCCACATAGTCCCATGCATCAAGCACTTGTGCGTCGTGCCATGAGTTACCATGGGCAGGGCTTCAAACATTTCACAGCGAGCGGAAAATTTCCGTTTTTTATCCTGGAGGAGGAATCAGATGCAACCATCTGAAAAATAAGTCATGCATCCAGTCATGCATGGAAACAAGAACGTCTTCAATATCGTGCGCAGCAGCCTTGCTTTTTGATTGAAGTAAATCATGGTAAAGCTATATATGGTGTATGGGGATATTTGGCACAGATTAATAGCTGCATGTTGGTCACATCATCTGTGCCCATGTCATCTTTCAACAAACACATTGTGAAAGTAACTATATAGGCCAACTAGGCTTCAAACCCAGCCACATGCTTGCCAACAGGGCTGATTTGGACGTATATGTTTGAGCACAAGTTGGGAAGGGGCTGGCAAAACTGAAAACGGCACAAATCATAGCAATTATTAGCCACTTGGAAAAATATGTCCACACAGTTACCTTTTCAAAAATGTGCTCGAAAATGAGGTTGTTTTCAGAATCTGCCCGTTTACCAAAAAAGTGTACCAAACACCCTAAAAGTACACATTTATCTGTACCACTGGGCGGTGCAGGTATTGTCTTTTGCAGCAGGACTTCGTAAATCGTATTGGAGTGGCTGCATGAAGGCTCCGACAGTGATTTGTCAGCAGATTTTCTCCATTTTGGCGCTAGTGATTTTCCTTCTAAAAATCCTTTTAAAAAGTGCTTCAAACTCGTCTTTTTTTCGCTCTGGCGTCGAGATCCGGTTTTGGAGCTACGATTTCCGACGCCGTTGCGTGTAGTTCTATTGTGTTTTGCAACTCAGTCTCTGCAGATCGCATTGTAATGGCTGCGTCAAGGTTGCTTCGTGCTGTGGCTGCATGCGTAATACTATTGTCTTTTGCAGCTGGACTTCGTAAATCGTATTGGAGTGGCTGCATGAAAGCTGCGACCTGGATTTGTTAGCAGATTTTCTCCATTTTGGCACTAGTGTTTTTTTGTTGCACGTAGATTTAGAGCAGTGCGAAGTGTGGGGTGTGAAGAGTGCAGTGTGAAGCGTGAAGTGTGAAGGAAGCAGTGTGAAGTGTGAAGTGTGGAATGTGAAGTGTGAAGTTTAAGTTTGGAGTGCGAAGAGCGCAGTGTGAAGTGTGAAGTGTGAAGTGTGAGGTTTGGAATGTGAAGGAAGCAGTGAGAAGTGTGAAGTGTGGAGTGTGAAGTCTAAGTTTGGAGTGCGAAGAGCGCAGTGTGAAGTGTGAAGTGTGAAGTTTGGAGTGTGAAGGAAGCAGTGAGAAGTGTGAAGTGTGCAGTGTGAAGTGTGAAGTGTGAAGTGTGGAGTGTGAAGTTTAAGTTTGGAGTGCGAAGAGCGTAGTGTGAAGTGTGAAGTGTGAAGTGTGAGGTTTGGAGTGTGAAGGAAGCAGTGAGAAGTGTGAAGTGTGCAGTGTGAAGTGTGGAGTGTGGAGTGTGAAGTTTAAGTTTGGAGTGCGAAGAGCGCAGTGTGAAGTGTGAAGTGTGAAGTGTGGAGTGTGAAGGAAGCAGTGAGAAGTGAGAAGTGTGAAGTGAGAAGTGTGAAGTGTGGACTGTGAAGTGTGGAGTGTGAAGTGTGAAGTGTGAAGTGTGGACTGCGAAGTGTGAAGTGTGAAGTGTGGACTGTGAAGTGTGAAGTGTGCAGTGTGAAGTGTGAAGTGTGAAGTGTGAGGTTTGGAGTGTGAAGATGCAGTGAGAAGTGAGAAGTGTGAAGTGTGGAGTGTGAAGTTTAAGTTTGGAGTGCGAAGCGCGCAGTGTGAACTGTGAAGTGTGAGGTTTGGAGTGTGAAGGAAGCAGTGAGAAGTGAGAAGTGTGAAGTGAGAAGTGTGAAGTGTGGACTGTGAAGTGTGGAGTGTGAAGTGTGAAGTGTGAAGTGTGGACTGCGAAGTGTGAAGTGTGAAGTGTGGACTGTGAAGTGTGAAGCGCGCAGTGTGAAGTGTGAAGTGTGAAGTGTGAGGTT